CCATGACATGGCTGAGAGGCCCAAGGAACAATTGATGTTTCAACCGATTTGGCAAATTTCATTCAGAAATGCGAGGATGTCTCAGGCGAGTTTGCCAATTCTAATAAGAAATGCGAAGATGTCTTAAGCGACGTGGCCAATTCTACAACAAATATAGAGGCGCCACTGCTTCTTTCTGAATTCCTGCCAGCACTGCCTCCGAAGGCCTCTGAGAATAAGAGCTTCCTGGGCCCTGAGAGGCCCTGGACCCCGATGGGGGAGGAGGTCAGGCGGATCGGCCGAAGGCCTCTGATAATAAGAGTTCCCTGGGCCCTGAAAGGCCCTGGCCACTGAGGGAAGGCGACGGGCCACTGGCGGAAGGCATCCCCAGGGCCCTGCTATGATAACCCCTTGCGATACGTCTTGGACCGTCTTGGATGATTCTGGAATCTCTCGGCCATCTGGGATTATTCTGAGGCTCCCTCGGCCGCGAAGGAGTCGTGCGGTTCCCTTCATAGAAGTAAGAGTTGGAGTAGGAGTAGGAGGAAAGGGGGGAGGAGTTGGAGTAGGAGTAGGAGTCAAGCTAGCCAGCTCGAGCGAGTCAAGCATGGCATGCCCAGTCCCACCCGCCCTCCCACAACATAAGAAGCAAAGCTGGCACAACTGGGGGCCGAAGTCACACCGGCCAGCCGGTTTGGTACAGCTGATGCGGCCGCGATGGCGGTTGCCGACGGGAACTGGCGAGCGCGTGTTGAATGCCGCGCACGCATTGCCAGACGAGTCGAGAATGGCCCGGTACACCGCAGGAAGCCAGAGGTGGCCGGAGGAAGCCCGACGGTCTGACAGGACACCCCAAAGCATTTTTGTGAAAAAGCATTGGGTTTTTGATGTTTTTATGTTGAAATGCTTGCAAAAACACTGTATTCGGTAGGATTCTGACATGAACGCGCGAGTGTGCTCTTTGTAATATTTTTTGCACAGGATTCGCGGCCTGGGTGCATGACAGAGCATCGCGAATGCACCGCGCGATGACGTGAAATCGCTGGATTTGACAGAATTCTTAAGATTCCTATGGTTTTCCTATGATTTCAGCAAGAGAGCCCGGGCGGGAAATTTGTACAATTTTTTTGTGAAAAAAAAAGCATTGGGTTTTTGATGTTTTTATGTTGAAATGCTTGCAGACACACGGTGTTCGGTAGGATTCTGACATGAACGCGCGCGTGTGCTCTTTGTGGTATTTTTTGCAATGGATTATCGCCGTGGACGACAGGACGTCCATGTCGAGAGGAAAAAATAAGAAACATGTTGATTTTGTATTGTTTTTTACAGGTTAGGATGGGACCACCCGGATGCGCCCGCTATCCGCCGGCCTGAGGGGGGAGTAGGAGTATATTCTAATAAGGAATAAGGATATAGGAGTAGGAGTAGGAATACGAATAGGAGTACGAGTACGAGTAGACGAATAGGCAAATTTTCTCAAAAGAATTGCGAGCCCGTCTCAGGCGATTTGGCAAATGCTTATAAAACTGTAAGATGTCTCCAGCGATTTGGCAAATTCTATTAAGAACTGTGAGGATGCCTGAAGCGATTTGGCCAAGTCTGATAAGACATGTGAGGATGTCTCAGTCGATTTGGCTAGTTAATTATATTAAGAAGTGTAAGGCTGTCTCAGGCGATTTGGTCAATTCTACAAAGAAATGCGAGGATGGCTCAGGCGAGTTGGCCAATTCTAGTTAGAATTATGAGGATGTCTCATGCCATTTGGCTAATTCTGCTAAGACATGTGAGTATGTCTCACGCGATGTGGCAAACTCTACTCAAGAATATGAGAATGTCGGATGAAATGTTGCCAACATTACTAAGAAATGTAAGGATGTATCAGGCGATTTGGCCAAGTCTGTCAAGAAACGAGGATGTCTCAGGCGATTTGGCAAATGCTGATAATAATTGCGAGGATGTCTCAGGCGATGTTGCGAATTCTAATAAGAAGTGTAAGGCTGTCCAAGGCGAATTGGCCAAGTCTGTTAAGAAATGTGAGGATGTCTCAAGTGATTTGGCAATTGCGAGGATGTCTCGGGCAATCTGGCAAGTTCTATTTGGAAATGCGAGGACGCCTCTATCGATTTGGCCAATCCTATCTGAAAACTGAACGCTTGAGCCCTGAAAGGGCGGCAGGCACAGGCAGGAACTGTCCTGAGCACTGAACGGTTGCCCTAATATTGCCAGGACTGTGAAAAGGCGAGCTGGGGGGGAAGGAGGGAGAAAGGGAAGGAGGAGGAGAATGATTAAGCAATGTGAGGATGTCTCAAGCGATGTGGCACATTCTGTTAAGAAATGTGAGGATGTCTCAAGCGATTTAAGTGATTCTACTAAGAAGTGTAAGGATGTCTCAAGCGAGGTGGCCAATTGTAATAAGAAATGTGAGGATGCCTCAAGCGATTTTGCCAATTCTATTTAGGAATATGAGGATCTCTGAAGCAATTTGGCCAATTCTATTAAGATATGTGAGGATGTCTGAAGCGATTTAGCAAATCCTATTAAGACATGTGAGGACGTCTCAGGCGATTTGGCAAATTCGATTAAGAAAAGTGAGGGTGTCTCAAGCAATTTGGCAAGTTCTATTTGGAAATGCGACGACGTCTCAAGCGAATTGGCAAATCCTATTAAGAAATGCGTTGATGTCTCAGGCGATTTGGGCAATTGTATTAAGATATGTGAGGATTTCTCAAACGATTTGGCAAATGTTCGTAAGAAATGTGAGGATGTCTCAAGCTATTTGGCCAATTCTCGTACGAAGTGTGAGGATGTCTCAGGCGATTTGGCCAATTCTGCTAAGAAACATGAGGATGTCTTAGGCGATTTGGCCAAGTCTATTAAGAAATGTGAGGATGTCTCAAGCGATTTGGCAAATTCTATTAAGAAATGCGAGGATGTCTCAGGCGATGTGCTTCCTCCTCCTCCTCCTAGCCGCAGGTGCCGGAGTAACGCTTCCAGGTGCGGGGGGATATAGTTTCGCCGGAGGGGGGGGGGTTCTTAATTGCTTCCTCGGGTTAACCGTTGTATTTGTTTCAATGGAAATCTTCTTCTGGAGCTCGCACCCTGTTTTTTTACAAAGGGCAACGTGGGGTCGCCAAACTGTGTCCCTGGCCCCTGGCTTACAACAACAACGGCTTCCGCCGAATACTTCCTCACCATGTCTTCCCAAATCGCGTTCCGCGCCCCGCGTGGGATGCCTTAACAATCTATTCAGACGCCGCGCCCCTGATACTCAGGAATCGCGCTCTCACTGCGGATTTCTCGATATTCATTGGGGAACCGCGCTATCTCTCGAGACTTCCTCGCGATTCATGCAGGACGCACGCGTCAGCAACCCGCCGGCTCGACCTGGCCGCGTGGGCCCGCCCGCCTTCCCGCCGACCCGCCCGTTAGGGTCTGCCCGCCCGATATTCCCGTCTGGTTCTGCCGTGTGTTTGCTGCTCCTGGCCTCCCTCCTGCTACTCTTTCTCTCGTCCTCCATCCTCCTCCCTCTCCGTTGTCCGTTCCTTCAATCCGTCCTCGCTTCCCCTGCCTTGAGGGGTGGACGAAATACACGTTGCAGGTATGAAAGATATACCACTGAGAGCGCACGACCGTAGACGAAACGGGCAAGTATCGAGGGTTTGGGATATACGTTTTGAACGGCACGCGATCAGATAAGAATGATCAGTCTTAAAATACTTGTTGTTCAGTGTGTTGCTGCTGCTGTTGCTGATGTGAACGGTGTTTCATGTTGTTAATGTCGTCGATGTCGTTGTCGTTGTCGTTGCCATTGTCGTTGTCGTCGTTGTCGTTGTTGTTGTCATTGTCGTTGTTGCTGTCGTTGTTGTTGAATTCTCATTTGTCTTAAAAAAATACTGCGTGCTTAGCCCCCCCCCTCTTGTACAATTAACCTACTCCTCCCGGGGCCCGCACCCTGTTTAGTACAAGGGAAAACGAAAGGTCACCAAAATGTGTCCCTGGCCCCCGGCTTACAACGACAACCTCTCCCGACAAATACTTCCTCAACATGTATTCCCAACTCGCGCTCTCGCGAGGGACCTCCGTACAAGTTAAGCAGGGTTCGCGCTCCCGCGTGGGATTTCTGAACAACTTATTCAGACGCCGCTCGCTCGACATTCATGAATCACGCTCTCGCTGGTGCATCGTTTTAAGATTTACTTCGAATTCGCACTTTCGCTCGAGCACCCTTCACGATTCATGCGATATTCACGCTTCAGCAATCCGCTTGTTCGACCTGGCCGCTTGGGCCAGCCTTCCCGACCAGCCCGTTAGGCTCTACCCACCCGATAGGCCCGTCTGATTCTGCCATGTATTTTCTGTTCCTAGCCCCCCTCCTGCTGATTCCGTCTTCAGTCCTTCTCCCGCCCCCTTCCATATGTCCTCTCTTTCCCTGTTGCAGGGGCTGCACCAATTCCACGCGGCAGGTAAGGAAAATATACCCACAAAGGGGTACGATCGAAGGCGAAGAAAACGGGTACCAAGGGTTTGGGATATACGTGTTCAGTGGCACGCGGGCAGGTAAGATCGACAAATCTTGAAAGGTGTGTTGCTGGTATTGGCTGTTGGTATTGTTGTTGTTGATGATGTTGCTGTGATTGTTGTTGTTGTTGGTGCTGCTGTTGCTGTAGTGGTTGTTGCTGGAGTTGTTGAAGTTGTTGGTGTTGTTGCAGTTGTTGTTGTGGTTGTGGTTGTGGTTGTGGTTGTTGTTGTTGTGGTTGTTGTTGTGGTTGTTGTGGTTGTTGTTTTTGTTGTTGTGTTTGTTGTTGTTGTTGTTGTTGTTGTTGTTGTTGTTGTTGTTGTTGTTGTTGTTTGTTCTCTCTCTCTCTCTCTCTCTCCCTCTCTCTTTCTCATTCCCATTATCATTACCACTCTCTCTCTCTCTCTCTCTCCCTCTCTTCTTTCCCTATCTTATTATCATCCTTAGCTTTGACACTCCCTTCTGTCCCTGTACACTCCGACCCCCTCATTCGGCACCGCGGGTCCGCTCTGGTGACGCCCTCTTGCACGTCGGGCCGCTGCGGCAGCGGCTTCCGCTCGTGCGCGGGCTTCTGCGCCTCTGTCTCCACAAACTTCTTGGCGCACTGTGGCTCGTGGATGCCGAAGGGCCGGGCCGGTCCAGCCGGTCCGCGAGCCGTCGCCGGCGGAGGGTTTTCTCGCGTGGGGTCTGGCATCTGGCCGAGCCACACTCCAAGAGAGGGGGAGAGGGCCCGAGACGAAGGGGGTGGCGACCCGATGCCCCCCCCAAGAACTCTCGAACGCCTTCCCTGGCACCCGTGGGCCTCGTGCGGCGGGCCCCGCCGGCCCTGGCGAGCGCGGCCCGCCTCGGCCGGCCCGGAATGGAGGACGTGCCGAACTCTCGCCCGCAGATGTAGCACACCACCGTGCGCGGAGCAGCGGGCGGAGGGGCCGGACTCCTGGCACCCGTGCGGCCGCGGTCGGCTGCGACGGCCTCCCTCGCCCGTTCCTCGGCCGCCGGGGCCGCCTGCAGCGCTCCAGCGGCTCCCTTGCCCGTGCACGCCTTGGCGTGCCTGGCCAGGGTCGCCTCGTCCTTGAAGCTGCGACCGCAGCCTGGGCAGTGCGCCATCACCTTCGCCTCGTACGCGTCCTTGGCTGCGTCGTTGTACTCCTGGGCGGGCCACGAGGGACCGGGGCAACAGAGGCTTTCTTGGAGTGAGGGCGCCGAGCGGTCGTTCACTGTCCCGGGAGGGCGTGGCTGAAGTGGGGTTCCGCGGTGCGGATCGTTGTTGCGTTGCTGTTCTCGTCGTCCTCGCCCGCGACCCGACCCACCCAGCGACCCACCCCGCGACGACCACCCCGCGGCCCACTCCGCGATCCAGCCGCAACCCCCCCCCCCGCGACTCCCCCCGCGACCCCCCCCCCGACCCACCCCGCGCCTGCCATCTCACCCTGATCCGCAACAGCATTATTCGGCGCGGGGATTCCCACGTGTGCATCTCATTTCCTGGCCCTTCCCGCTGAGGGTGCCTCAAGGCAAGAGGGACTGGGGGGTCGAGGAGGTGGCAAACTGAGGGTTCTCCCTTGTGGACGCGGAGATCCCCATACGTGCATCTCGCTTCCTGGCCCTCCCTGCTGAGGGTGCCTGAGTGAGAGGAGTCGTCCCTCCCCTGTGGCGACGGAGCGCTCCCTGGTGGCTCCCCCTTGGAGCGCCCAAGTGCTACAGGCTATGCCTGCTACATCGCGGTGATCCCACATAGGGCTCTGACAGGAGAGGAATCAGGGGTGTCAGACCAGCGTTTCGCCTAAGGTGCCCCCACCGTCTGGCCGAGCCCGTCCAATCACTGCGGGCAGTGAGCGCGCCCGACACGAGGCTCGCAGCGGCTCAAGCAGGCCCATTCCAACACGCCCAAGCGCCTACAGGTGAGTTTCCTCGTCCACCTTCCCTCTTAATTACCCTTCGGGGAGGGTTCATCCCGCCCTCTACCCCCTCCTCCTTGTGGAGGGAGCGTTTCGCGAGGGGTTGGAGCGCACAAGATGGCCTGTCTCGGCGCGAAGCCAAAATCATTGATTCTACTTAGGTTTTTGCAACGTGTTTGCCTCTTGGAAGGGAAACCTAAGTGGGGAGCCCCATCCCCTCCTTTGGCCGATCTCCTCCAAGATGGCCCCCGAGGCTCCCAATTGTGCCCCAAGACGGTGCCTAACGAAGACGCCCGCTTCCTTTGATCGATCTTCTCAAAGCTGGCCCAAAGATGGCCTCTGAGGCTCCCACGGGTTCCCCAAGACTGCCCCAAGAGGTGCCCAGAAGGCCCCAAGGGTTCCCCCAGATGGCCCGAAGAGGTGCCCAGGCCCCAAGACATCCCAAGAGGCCCCCAAGATGCTCTGCGGAGACCCCCAAGAGGCCCCCATGGGCCCCCCAGAGTCACCCCAGACGCATCCAGAGGCCTTGGGGAGAAGACCCACATCACTGATTTTACACACGTTTTGGCCCCAAGATGGCCCCCGAGGCTCCCAAGGGTGGCCCCAAGGCCTCCAAGAGGCCCCGAAGAGGCCCCCCAGATGCCCGGCATCGACAGAATCCTTCCGACCCCCTCATTCGGCACCGCGGGTCCGCTCTGGTGACGCCCTCTTGCACGTCGGGCCGCTGCGGCAGCGGCTTCCGCTCGTGCGCGGGCTTCTGCGCCTCTGTCTCCACAAACTTCTTGGCGCACTGTGGCTCGTGGATGCCGAAGGGCCGGGCCGGTCCGGCCGGTCCGCGAGCCGTCGCCGGCGGAGGGTTTTCTCGCGTGGGGTCTGGCATCTGGCCGAGCCACACTCCAAGAGAGGGGGAGAGGGCCCGAGACGAAGGGGGTGGCGACCCGATGCCCCCCCCAAGAACTCTCGAACGCCTTCCCTGGCACCCGTGGGCCTCGTGCGGCGGGCCCCGCCGGCCCTGGCGAGCGCGGCCCGCCTCGGCCGGCCCGGAATGGAGGACGTGCCGAACTCTCGCCCGCAGATGTAGCACACCACCGTGCGCGGAGCAGCGGGCGGAGGGGCCGGACTCCTGGCACCCGTGCGGCCGCGGTCGGCTGCGACGGCCTCCCTCGCTCGTTCCTCGGCCGCCGGGGCCGCCTGCAGCGCTCCAGCGGCTCCCTTGCCCGTGCACGCCTTGGCGTGCCTGGCCAGGGTCGCCTCGTCCTTGAAGCTGCGACCGCAGCCTGGGCAGTGCGCCATCACCTTCGCCTCGTACGCGTCCTTGGCTGCGTCGTTGTACTCCTGGGCGGGCCACGAGGGACCGGGGCAACAGAGGCTTTCTTGGAGTGAGGGCGCCGAGCGGTCGTTCACTGTCCCGGGAGGGCGTGGCTGAAGTGGGGTTCCGCGGTGCGGATCGTTGTTGCGTTGCTGTTCTCGTCGTCCTCGCCCGCGACCCGACCCACCCAGCGACCCACCCCGCGACGACCACCCCGCGGCCCACTCCGCGATCCAGCCGCAACCCCCCCCCCCGCGACTCCCCCCGCGACCCCCCCCCCGACCCACCCCGCGCCTGCCATCTCACCCTGATCCGCAACAGCATTATTCGGCGCGGGGATTCCCACGTGTGCATCTCATTTCCTGGCCCTTCCCGCTGAGGGTGCCTCAAGGCAAGAGGGACTGGGGGGTCGAGGAGGTGGCAAACTGAGGGTTCTCCCTTGTGGACGCGGAGATCCCCATACGTGCATCTCGCTTCCTGGCCCTCCCTGCTGAGGGTGCCTGAGTGAGAGGAGTCGTCCCTCCCCTGTGGCGACGGAGCGCTCCCTGGTGGCTCCCCCTTGGAGCGCCCAAGTGCTACAGGCTATGCCTGCTACATCGCGGTGATCCCACATAGGGCTCTGACAGGAGAGGAATCAGGGGTGTCAGACCAGCGTTTCGCCTAAGGTGCCCCCACCGTCTGGCCGAGCCCGTCCAATCACTGCGGGCAGTGAGCGCGCCCGACACGAGGCTCGCAGCGGCTCAAGCAGGCCCATTCCAACACGCCCAAGCGCCTACAGGTGAGTTTCCTCGTCCACCTTCCCTCTTAATTACCCTTCGGGGAGGGTTCATCCCGCCCTCTACCCCCTCCTCCTTGTGGAGGGAGCGTTTCGCGAGGGGTTGGAGCGCACAAGATGGCCTGTCTCGGCGCGAAGCCAAAATCATTGATTCTACTTAGGTTTTTGCAACGTGTTTGCCTCTTGGAAGGGAAACCTAAGTGGGGAGCCCCATCCCCTCCTTTGGCCGATCTCCTCCAAGATGGCCCCCGAGGCTCCCAATTGTGCCCCAAGACGGTGCCTAACGAAGACGCCCGCTTCCTTTGATCGATCTTCTCAAAGCTGGCCCAAAGATGGCCTCTGAGGCTCCCACGGGTTCCCCAAGACTGCCCCAAGAGGTGCCCAGAAGGCCCCAAGGGTTCCCCCAGATGGCCCGAAGAGGTGCCCAGGCCCCAAGACATCCCAAGAGGCCCCCAAGATGCTCTGCGGAGACCCCCAAGAGGCCCCCATGGGCCCCCCAGAGTCACCCCAGACGCATCCAGAGGCCTTGGGGAGAAGACCCACATCACTGATTTTACACACGTTTTGGCCCCAAGATGGCCCCCGAGGCTCCCAAGGGTGGCCCCAAGGCCCCCAAGAGGCCCCGACGAGGCCCCCCAGATGCCCGGCATCGACAGAATCCTTCCGACCCCCTCATTCGGCACCGCGGGTCCGCTCTGGTGACGCCCTCTTGCACGTCGGGCCGCTGCGGCAGCGGCTTCCGCTCGTGCGCGGGCTTCTGCGCCTCTGTCTCCACAAACTTCTTGGCGCACTGTGGCTCGTGGATGCCGAAGGGCCGGGCCGGTCCGGCCGGTCCGCGAGCCGTCGCCGGCGGAGGGTTTTCTCGCGTGGGGTCTGGCATCTGCGAGCCGAGGGTTTTCTCACACTCCAAGAGAGGGGGAGAGGGCCCGAGACGAAGGGGGTGGCGACCCGATGCCCCCCCCAAGAACTCTCGAACGCCTTCCCTGGCACCCGTGGGCCTCGTGCGGCGGGCCCCGCCGGCCCTGGCGAGCGCGGCCCGCCTCGGCCGGCCCGGAATGGAGGACGTGCCGAACTCTCGCCCGCAGATGTAGCACACCACCGTGCGCGGAGCAGCGGGCGGAGGGGCCGGACTCCTGGCACCCGTGCGGCCGCGGTCGGCTGCGACGGCCTCCCTCGCCCGTTCCTCGGCCGCCGGGGCCGCCTGCAGCGCTCCAGCGGCTCCCTTGCCCGTGCACGCCTTGGCGTGCCTGGCCAGGGTCGCCTCGTCCTTGAAGCTGCGACCGCAGCCTGGGCAGTGCGCCATCACCTTCGCCTCGTACGCGTCCTTGGCTGCGTCGTTGTACTCCTGGGCGGGCCACCCCGCAACCACCCTCCGACCCACCCCGCGAACAACCCCGCGACCCACCCCGCGAGCCACCCCGCGACCCCCCCGCGACCCCCCCCGTGCCCGCCATCTCACTCTTATCTGCAACATCATTATTCGACGCGGGGATTCCCAAATGTGCATCTCATGTTCTGGCCCTTCCCGCTGAGGGTGCCTGAGTGCAAGAATCTCAGCCTGTGGTGACTGAGCGTTACCTGGCAGCTCCCCCTTGTAGCGGCCAAGTGCTTCGCCTGCTGTAGTGCTTCGCCTGTTGTAGGGCTCTGAAAGGAGAAGGGTCAGGGGTGCTAAAACTGCGTTTCGCGAGACGCCCTCACAACCTGGCTGGACTCCGTAGACATTGTGGCTTGACCCGGCGCTTTTGGGGTTCGAGCGCGGCTTCGTTTCCGAGCGCACCTCCATGGCGCATGCGTCTTTCGCGCGGGAATGGGTACGGACGTGGCAATATAATTTGCGATCGTGCACAGGATCCTGCCGAGATCTGCCGAGCCCCTCCAAGAATGCATGCAGCGCAGCTGTCCCAGACGACTCTGATCTCTGCGAGGACGCCCGACGCAACAATCAATAGTATGCGACGTAAGCTCTGCGAAGACGCGCACAAAGAATTGAATGGAGCTGTGGGGGTATCCAGAAACCTACCAAACAAGTACCGAAGCCTTAGCCTGATGGCAGCACGAGGGCGAAGAAACCTCCAACGAAACTAATGTGCTTGCGCTCGATTCGTAGGGCAACGGAAAAGAGGATTGAGCGGAAACCGCGACATCCTCAAGAAACCAATCGTCTTTCAAGAAGTCCAGCAAGCGAGTGCAGCATTCGGTCGTGCATGTCCTCCTACGGGCGGATTTTGGAACAACAGATTTCACTAGTCAAGCAATAAGCAAACATACAAAAAACATCGTGCCCATACCACTTTTATTGGATTATGTTTGAATATTCCTGCGGTAGAGGGGCGCGCCCGATTTACACGTAGCATTAGTTGCTATACCCTCTGATTCACAAAAGCAAATGGGGCACCCAGGGGGTCCGGGGGGGGTCTCCGGGGAGTGGGCGCGCACCCCACGGTGGTGCGTGCCAGAACCGCTGCGCTGCTGCTCCTAGTCGCGAGCTAGGAGCGGGGCAGGGGCCGCGGCCAACCGTGGCCCCGCAGCTCAGGACCTGAGAGCGGGAGCGGGGTCTGCAGCGGTGACGCCCGAATCCCGGGTGGCGCGGCAGCAGGGGTGCAGGTCCCGGGGTGGGCGAGCCGCGGCGTCGACTGCCAAGAGGTCTGGTGTAGACCCCAGACGGAGGGGTCGGCTGCGGTGGGTGCACGCTGGCGGTGGGGGGGGCCCAGGCCCCGGCGGAGGGAGCTTACCGATGCTCCCAAGGTCGGCGGCTGCTCGAGGCGCGGCTGGAGGAGCCCTGGTCACGGTGCCAGGTCGCACTGGCTGCACGGTCGTCCTTCCCCTAGCCCCTGGCCCTTGTGTGAGCCGCCATGCCCCCCCCCCCCTCAGGTGGTAAACTTCTCGCGGGTGACCGGCCAATTGACTCCGAGGCTGTTGGCCCTGTCCATGGCCAGCGGGCTGTGGTCGTGACGGCGCCATTCCCGGAAGAAGTCCTCGCGGGAATTGGAGTCCTGTCTGAAGGGATCTGCGCAGGCGTTTTTTTCCTGGGGGAGGGGGCCCATTGCGTCACTGGTGCCAGATTCCGCTGAAGTGCTCCCCGAACTCTCTCTGGAGGCGGTTCACCACGGCGGCGCTGTTCTCGCTGCCAGAGGGGTAAAGCGCGACCTCATTCAGGGGGGCCTTGTACATGTACCAGCCAGTGTCCGGGTCGGCCAGGCCGCTCGGGGGGGTCGTGCTGGGCCCTGAGACGATCCAGCCTCCAGCGTGCGGTCGTTGGGTCCGCGCGGTGCCCTGGGACGGCCCGCGGTGGGCGGAGTCGCCCCCGTCATTCCAGTCGGTCCAGCCCCTCCTCTCGCGGTTGTTGGCCTCACGGCCGGTGCCGCTGTGCCTGAGGGCTCTCCCAGCGCGGCAAGTGTCTCCTAGGCCTCCGCGGTTGTCCTTGTCACGCGCGGCGGCCTCGCCCTGGCCGCGGCACCCTCGGGGAGGAACGCCGGGCGCGGGAGAGGGGGCCCTGGTGCTTGGTGGGGGGCGTCGGCACCCCCATCGCCTCCGATGTTGAGGGGGTCGACCGCGCTAGACGCGGCGGCGGGCGAAGCTGGGCTGCCGGACTGAGTGTCCGCTGGGTGGGTTGGAGCGGCGTCGCCTCCCGCTCGTGCTGGGGCGGGGATGGAGGTCGGGCTGAACTCGACGACCGACCGGCGGCGCGGCGCTGGCGGGGGCGTCTTCGGGTCCCTCAGCGGGGGCGGTGTCGGTGACGGACTCGGCGGGCTCCTCCTGGGCGGCGCTACCACCTGCGGGGGCGCTCAAGGTTGCGCAGACCCTGCGTGCCGGGGTCACTGGGGCCCGCGGCTGCGCTCCGCCGGCGGGGTTCGCAGGGGGGCCCGCCGAGTCTGCGCTGTCGTCTTGCCCGGGGGGCAAAGTTGGTGGGGATACGTTTTGTTGGTCAACAGGCTCGCGAGGCGGGTCGAAAGCCGTCCGAACACTAGTTGGGCCGCGACTAGGCAGCAGGAAAAGAAAAACAAGCGAAGCGAGCGAGCGGGCAGCCACTCAGAAGGAGAGCCAGAACCGATGCTCCCAAACCTGGTGGCGTTGGAAATCCCGGTGGCGACCGGCAAGTAAGCACTGGTGGGGATACTTTTTTCGGTCGCGGCCGCGAGCGAAGAGCGCAGGCGGCGTCAGAAACTGTCCAGGGCACGGAAACACTGGTGGGGATACGCTTTTTTGGTCGGCGGCCACTCGACTACGGTCTGGCGGCAACAGTAATGTCCGGGAGAGCGGCACAAGAAGAATTGCACAGACAGTGTTGATGCACGCGAACTGAACAAAATGCTCAGAATTCGAAGGAGAGCCTAAACAAGCGCTGCAAACTAATGGCGGCGCCCAAGACACGGAACACTGCCACCCTGAGCCGGGTAGGAACATGCAACAGTGCCAAGAATCGCACAGGCAGGGCTCACCCCTGACGCGCGAAATGCCGCAGACGTGGCCACTGACGCCTGGTGAAGAAGCGCCTGCGAAACCAGCCTGAAGGGCGACAGCTGCAAAGGAGGGCGGAGTGGACAAAGGAGTGAGTCGCCAGTAAGACGCCAGACTCCAAGCCCAAGACAAAGACTGCAAGCCAGTGGGAACGCGGGGCTGGCGGCGCGCAGACCGGCGCCTGGAAATAGCCGGGGGGCTGTCTGCAAGCGGGGCCAAGCCCGAACGAATTCCGAACTGACAGACGAAGCACGAGCCCAAGTAACGAGCAGCAGGCGGGGAAAACGAAGGCCGACGGCACTGAAGGCTGAACCACTCAGCGCGCAGCCATCAAACCGCCAACATGACGAGGGCCGGCGGCAGCCGACGCATCGAATCAGCACCTGCGGAAAAAGCCGAAAGGTGCGACGATGCGAAAAAGGGGTGTACGCAAGAGCGGGCGGCGTCTCTCACGAAGCATCCGGCACAGTGCCTCGCGATGTCGGTCGGGACCTCCGAGAACCACCATGACAGTCTGCTGCGAATAGGCCCACCCATGCCAGCTGCATGTGAATGTAGCGACTGTGGGAAGATCCTCCGAGCAGCCCGCCAGCCAGGTCCCCAGTGGGCCACGGCAGCCGACGCGGGCGCGCCCCAGAGCGAAGTGGAGGGTGTACGACCGGCTGCGCATCAGCGCCGCTAGCCACCGTGTCTGGTCTCCGCTCCTCGGCCTGCTCCCTGCTGTAGGAAGGGGGGGGTGTAGCTGACCGTCGCAGGGTCCACTTGATAGCAGTTGCACACTGAGAGCGCCGACGCGTGTGGGGGGGGTGCAGCTAGCCGCCGCGAATGACATATAGAAAGACTGGGGGGGGGCAGGACAACGGCGACGCGGCCCAAGCTGGAGTGTGCCAGCGTCGACAGCGGCACATGGGGGGTTATATGAGCAAAATCCTGAATGCAGCTGGAGCTGCGGACCGTCAAAGTACCGGCTGAGTGGCGTGCAGGGGGGCGACTACTCCAGACGACCATCCCTGCTACCGGTAGCAGGCGGCTGTCAGATAGATAGCAAAGGGAGGTGCGCTGGGGGGGGGTGCGTCTACGGCCGCCCCTTGTCACCAAGCTAGAGCGGCTGTCACTGCGGGACAGCAAGGCAGGCGCTCCTGGCTGGTAGTCCTGCAAGCAGGACCCCCCCTGCAGAGGGACCGGGGGGTCCAGGTGATCCACGTTTCCAGTGTGGGCTGTCTAGCTATGCAGCGCTAGGGGGGTGAGATGTGGGGAGACCTCCGCCCCAGCGGGAGTTGCCCCAAGGTATGATGGCCGAGGCCAGGCGCTGCAAGGTGAAACGAACCCCGGCGGGGTGAGGTGCGTGCAGCGAGGAGGGGAGATTCACGGAAGGCGGTGGGTGTCGGTGTGCACGTGGCTGGGCCATTCTGGGATTGGAACCCCGGAGCGCGTTAGTCCTCTCAGTCCCACCATCGTGCACGTTTGTCAGTGTACGGATCGACTCCTCTGGGGGAGTACGTTTTCCTTTTCCTTTCCAATCTGTTTCTGTCCACGGTGCTTTCTGGTGGCTCCAGGAATCCCATCCCTGCCATTCCTGCCAGCGGGAGGGGGTAGCGGAGCCAATGGCACCTGCCCCGGTCACGCGTGGGTGTCACCGCGGCTGCTCTGCCTTCTCCTGTCCACGGGGCGGGTCCACTGCTGCTGGAGGGACCGCGTTGTGGGTGGGTTTTGGGCTCGCGCTGGAGGAGCTTCATGTACTTGTCCTTGACCGACGGCCAGTGGACGTTGAGCCTCAGGTTGCTGTCCATCTTGTGGGCGTCATACCCTCTGGTGGGGATATGTTTTATTGGTCGGCGGCTCCAAGGCAAAGGTCAGGGAGCGGAAGCAGCGTCCGGGATGCGGCACGGAGCTGGTGGGGATACTTGTTTTTTATCTGCGGCTCTAAGGACGATTCCAGCGAGCGGGTCAAACTCGACAGCTGGTGGGGATATTTGTTTGATCTGCGGCCCGCAGGGAAAAGTCCAGAGGGCGTGTCAATCGGGCTGACTGGGGCACAGAGCCAGATAATTTGCGAACCCAGCTGTCATTGTCGCTGGTGGGGGTACGCGAAGCGTGAAGAATTTGGGAATATTCAAGGGGCGCTTTTCGCTCCCCCTCTCCCCGCGTAGTCTCGTGAGGATGTGGATCTGGACCCGAGGCTGCGGATCCTCGAACAAAAATAGCTGGTGGCGCCCGCTCCCGAAGCCGCGAACCCCGGTAAACTATAGGGGAAGCGCGCTCCCGAGGTCACCATCTCTAAATAATCATTACGGGCGCGCGGAACTGGCCAGCCAACAAACAGCCCAAACCCACTGCCACCCAGGAGTTTAGAGAAGTGGCCAATCGGGCTAGCTGCCAGCCAGCCAGCCAGCCGACAAGAAAACCAACCAGCTCGCCGATCAAGCGTGGCCGTGAAAGCGATATGAGGGGGGGGGCTGGCGGAGATGGCGAAGGCCTTCAGATCACAGTAGCCAATGGCCCCACCTGAGGATGTGAGGAAACGTGGGCCCGAGCCCGTCAAACTCCCCCAACGTTGCGGGCGGGCGAAGGACTGGGATCGAGGCGACGGGGGCAGAGGGTGCAGTGGGTCTAAACCACACGGGGGCAGAGGGTCCAGTGGGTCTAAACCACCCGTGGGTATGGCACCATAAGGAACAGAACATGTGCTGGAGAATGACCTGGTCCCTCGGATCCCCGGCGCGCCGCAGAGGGGCCGGCCCGCCAATCCGCCGTCCCACGCCGTCCCTGTTTCCGTGGCGTGGGCCACACGGACTTCTCGACCGCACCGCGGGGGACCGCTTTTCGTCGCGAGCCGTCCTGGTTGGGACCCAGCGCGAGGGATTGGGGAGAAGAGGGAGATGACTGGGAGGAGGACGACTTCTCTGACGTGTCACTCTTAGAGCGCTCCTGGGAGGCGATCGTCGCCATGGCTGGCTGGGCTCGCCTCGAAGTCTGGGCAGGACACACCTCGGGAGAGGTCGGGGGGCAAGTTTGTGAGGAGGCAGCACCGTGCTTCCAAGCATCGCGAGTAAGAAGAAAGGCGCCACGGAGGCGAACGTTTTTGATGAGCAACCTCAGCGATTCCAGAAACTATCGGAAAACAATGTTTGGAAGATGTTGCTGGATTGCCGATGTTCTACAGCATCTGGTATTAGGTCGGGCCTCTCCCCCTACAGGGGGATTTTGGACGACAAATAAAAAACACTCAAAACAAACTCCAAAAATGCTCAAACATAGTAAAACAAACATTGTCCCCTGACTATTTTCGACTATTTTTGAGTACGTCTCCTGCACCTCGCCCGCCAGAGCCCGCACGAAGGCCGCACGCGGGGCAGCGTTGGTCTCCGCGGGGGGGGGGCTGGGGGCCCCCGCCACGGCCGCGCCGCGTCCACGGCAGGAGGCGGCGGCGGAGGGAGGGGCGAGAAGGAGAAACGGCGAGGGGGAGCACTGCGGGTCCTCTCTGGAGACGCCCTCCGGCACGTCGGGCCGCTGGGGCAGCGGCTTCCTCTCGTGCGCGGGCTTCTGGGCCTGGCAGCCGGTGCCAGGCAGGGGGCATATGGCATCGGACTTGCCGTCCGCCCTCCCCCCGCACGATGCCTCCAATCAGCTGCTCTCCTGAGCCATCGCAGGCCCTTCGGTGGGTGCGGGGGGTGCTGCGCATGCCTAGCACAGTGCGACGCTCCCAGTCCCGATTCCCAAAACGTCATCATTATCTTGGGAATTCTTGGTAATCCTCCTCCTCCTCCTCCTCCTCCTCCTCCTCCTCCTCCTCCTCGCGCACAACGGGGACGAACGTCGCAGGTGACGGCAATTCAGACCTGCCACACTCGGACCGTGCACGCCGAAACGCGCCTTGCGCGACTTCCAGCCTGACAAGGCCGATGCCGCCACGACTCTCTGCGCATGCCCTTCCTCCTCCTCCTCCTCCTCCTCCTCCTCCTCCTCCTCCTCCTCCTGCTCCCCCTCCTCCTCCTCCTCCTCCTGCTCCTCCTCCTCCTCCTGCTCCTGCTCCTGCTCCTCCTGGTCCTCCTCCTCCTCCTCCTCCTGCTCCTCCTCCTCCACCTGCTCCTCCTCTCCTGCCCTGGTTCCCCCCCCTCCTGTGTTGCATCACCCTGCCATCGTCCTCTCTGCCCCCCGGCTGCTCTCGGCGTGCGCAGCGGGTGGTGCGAGCGGGGCGGCCATCCCGAGAGGGAGGCGGGGCTTCCAGGAGAGTCTGGACGCCCGAAGTGGGCACGGAAAGAATGGGTACAATGCCCAGCAACAAGTGTTGTCCCAAACCAACAGCGGCCGCTGTGGGCAGGCGGCCTTCTGTCTCGAATGAACACCAGCCGCGGCGGCGTGGACAGCGAACCCTGTTCAAAATGAACAAAAACTGCTGTTGGGCATTGTACCCATTCGTTCCGTGCCCATTTCGTTCGTGCAGAGAGAGGTGCGGGGGCTTCCCCGACGCCCTCCCGGCGCCCGAGGCGTCTTCTCAGAGGCATCGGGATCTTCCCGTTAGGTCGGGCGTGTCCCCCTACAGGCGGATTTTGGACGAACAATTAAACACACACACCCAAAATACCTCCAAATGCTTGAAAATAGTAATAGAACAAAAAACGTCCCCAGACTATGGTTTGACTATTTTTGCATGTTCCCCCTGTAGAGGGACACGCCCGACTTCATCTTCCCAGGCGGCCCCATGTGCCCTCCACAGCCAAAAATCGCTAGTAAGGGTGCAGGGTAAGGATGCAAGGCCCGGGAAGGTCCCCTTTGCCATGCTCGAACTCCTTGGGCGTCGGCACCGGCTCAGGATGGACCGAGAAAGCAGGGCTGCAAGAGTAGCCTTGATGAAGCAACGCATGCTCACCCATCGGTCGGAAGAAGCGGGCAGACACGTAAAGTAGGAAGACGCTCGATGTAGATTGCGCTCCCGCGCCCGCCTCCTCAAGCGGAAGGGGAAGGGAAACCACTCGATGATTGAAGTAGGAAGGCGCTTGAAAAGTGGACTGGGATCTGGGAATCCAGAAGGACCTACGTTCAACGACCGATGCCCTCACCCTCTGAGCAGGCCTCCCCCCGCGATCCACTCCTCCCTCCGCGCGCGCCGCCAGTCCTGTCGTCGCCCTCGGCCCCTGCCCTCGTCTCCCTCGTGCCCCTCCCGTCCACCTTGCACACCCTGGGCCTACCACTGTTTACCCATCGGTCGGGCGAAGCGGGCATTGAGGGATGAAAAAACGACCCTACCCTGGGTTACAAGTGCGTGGTCTGTAGACCTCCTGGGAACCCCCAAAGCCTAGAGCCGCCAGGACGCGGCACATCACGCAGGGTGTACCCTGTCAGCCCACAGGAGTTTCAGCGCACAGCGCCTCGTAAACCAGGGTAGGGGCGTTTTTTATGCCCTTGAGGGTAGACACATGAAGCAAGAAGGACTTGGAAGCGGACTGGATGTCCGACCGCCCTCCGCAGACGAAGGGGAGATGGACTACCGCTCAAGCCTCGAAGCAAGACGGCGCCTACAGATCGGGGGCGCGCCAACAGGGATTAGCGATCCATGGATTTGGCGCGCGGTCGCCAAATCCATGGATCGGGGGAGGTGCCCTCCCCAAAACGCGGCCGGTGCCGCCTCGCTCGGCGGCGGAAATCTGCGACTTCCCATGGAAACGGGACCCGTCGCTAATCCACGCCCCCTTGATCCACGTTTGCGATCGCCTGAACAGTGTCTTGGAATCTGGCAATGCCTAAAGCCTACTCCGGACAATCTAATAACCAGACGGGGCGGGGGCGACCAATCTTCCGACGGAGCGTCCCCGTCCCTCCCCCCCCCCCCCGCACCCTCCCCCGCGAGCCCTGTCCCCATCCCCCTCCCCCCCTCGAGCCCCCGCACTAATCTGGCTGCCTACCAGGCCACCCCAACCTAGCCCGAAGACCCGAATTTCGGGTTCGGGAAGGGGTCACGGGTTCCACACGTGTTCTTCCAATGTTCCCCGACCCCCCCCCCCACCGGGAAACGAGGGCACATCGGGGCCTTCGGGTTGGGTTGGGGTGGTTTGGTGGGCGGTGACAATCGCTCCCCACCCCCTGCGGCTGCCATCATAGGGGCCGCTGGGGTCGCCCTCTCCCACCAATACACCAATACACCAATACTTTACGGCGTCAATAACCAATGGAGGGGGCCGAGGACCTCCCTGCAGCCCCTCGGCCAACGAAGACGACTGCAGGGAGGGGTCCAAACGTACCTCCACCTTCATGCACCAATCAACCAATACACCAGTAAACCAACTCCCGGGTCAGCCAATACGCGCGGCCGCCTCGCGGCGACGAGCGGCTCGCTAATCCGGGGCAGCCAGAGGGGGTCTTCGCAGGATCCTGCAGGACCTGGCGCCCTGGCTGACCCCCGTTTGCACTGACCCCCATCTCAAGGCTCCCGAACTCCTAATATTCCCCCCCCCCCGGCCCAGCGACTTGAGCCTCAAAGCCGCACTCCCCCCACGAACCTCCGCCCGACGGCACGCGCCCTCCCGCCACCCCCCGACCAGAGGCCTCCCAGGTGGGGTCCGAACAGATGGGGCCGGTGGTTTGCCCACGCATCGCCGACGCATCGGCGTGGAGAACATCGGGCTCCGCATCGAGCTGCATTGCCGATGCATCGGCGCTGCGTCGGCGATGCGGCGCGATCCTGCTCCGCGCCCGGGGCGGTCGCGGGCGGCGCGCGCGCGTGACGCACGCGAGGGTGGCAACCGCGCTCGCGTGCATGCTCGCCGGATCTCGCCGGCATGCAGTCGAGTTC